ATATTTTATATACAAGCAATAATGTCGTTGGTTTATTAAAGTGTTTAACGAACTAAAACATTATTGTACAACTTCCGATATAATAGTTATATTGGACCGACTAAAAATTCACTTAGTTAATTTCACTTAGCCGGGATTTATCTAAGTAATATACACTAGTCTTAGAATACTAAGTGGGAGCAAAAGGGAATATGTAATATACAGCGTATATATTTGATATACAAAGTATATATAACATACTTTACTCTCTCTCTCACGTTCTCCTTTAAATTCACGCTGTGAGTTCCATGTTCGGCCTCGTGTCACCCTGGGTGCGGCCTCCCTACGGAAGGTGTTTGCATGGTTCAATATCGAGGTGAATGGAGGTAGTGTTCATAGTAAGTGGGAGAAGGACGTGTGACAACACATCCTGCGGTCTGCGCCATTGGTTTGCACCGTGAGGTTTCATACATGACCTGCGTGTCGTCCTGGAGCGACCATCCCTACGGAGGGTTCATTGTATGGAAATCAAAATCAAAGAAAACTCCAGAATGGATAGGAGTCTCTCAGGTTTTGCTCCAATATTTTCCTTCCCTTTGGCAGGATTATTGGGGTGGACCTCTGAGGTCCGAAAATGTTGGGTCACACTTACGAGGAGTTGTTAAGTTAGTTAGCAATTTCCTGATCAAATAAACGATGACTAAAATTTATAGGAATAAGAGTTATTCTGGTGTAAAATTTAGTTRAGAATGTCTCAATTCAGTGAAGGAGTACCTGTCTGCCCTACGGTGGCTGTTGCTCTAAATCACTGAAGCGTTGTTGCAAAACAATTTTGTTAGGGTGCTTAATTACTTTTGCTAAATTTTGATTGGGTTTAAAAGGCTAATGCATGAAACTAATATAGATTTGTTTTTACTTTCAGCATGTCTACTTCTATTATTGCACTCTTAGCTGCGCAAAGACTTAATGGAGAAAATTACAAACAATGGAAGTCAAACCTAAACACTATTCTCGTGATAGATGATCTTAGGTTCGTCTTGCAAGAGGATTGTTCTCAAGCTCCTACGCCTAACGCCACTGTGGCGGTGCGCAACGCCTATGACAGGTGGATCAAGGCCAATGACAAGACCAAGGTCTACATCTTGGCGAGCATATCTGATGTGCTTTCCAAGAAGCACGAGGACACGATCACCGCTAAGGAGATCATGGACTCGCTGCAGAGCATGTTTGGACAACCGTCGTCACAGGCTCGACATGAAGCCCTTAAGTTCGTTTACAACTCCCGCATGAAGGAGGGTTCATCAGTGCGAGAGCACGTTCTCAACCTGATGGTCCACTTCAACGTGGCTGAGTCGAACGGGGCCGTCATAGACGAGCAGAGTCAGGTCAGCTTCATTCTGGAATCTCTTCCGAAGAGTTTCCTTCCATTCCGCAGCAATGCGGTTATCAATAAGCTGGAGTACGCTCTTACCACGCTCCTAAAGGAGCTTCAGACCTACCAGTCTCTTATGAAATGTAAGGGACAAGAAGGGGAGGCAAACGTTGTCACCTCAAAGAGGTTCAACAGAGGATCGTCCTCTGGAACCAGGTCTGCGCCCTCTTCTTCTGGAAGTAAGACTTTTAAGAAGAAGAAGGCTGCTGGTAAGGGGTCTAAACC